GAGAGAGAGAGAGAGAGAGAGAGAGAGAGAGAGAGAGAGAGAGAGAGAGAGAGCAAACACAGATCAGTTGTGGCTATGGGTCTGATTAGTTCAACACAACGTTGGTCCCTGGGCGCCTCGTTTCTCAGGGCCGCCTCATGGCTTGGCTGCTGAGGTTCGTGCAGCATAAGGCAGATGGCATGCGCAGTGCAGATGGAGCTACAGGTCTAAACACTCTTGCATTCTCGAACAAACTTCCGACGACAATCGTCTAATCAACAAAAGAGTCACACACTCCATACATGCATTCACTGTGGATGGTGCGAAAATGCGACATGCACAGATGGATCGCATTGCTCAGTACACACGCATCCACAAGACAAGAAGACAGGGTCCTTGCGTAGGAGGATTACCCAGAAAACTAATGGAAGAGTTCCGGAAGAAGTTATTTCACACAGAATGCCGACTCATCTCCATTCAAGAGCAGGACAATCATTCAGTCGCATCATCATTCAAGAAAAGAGGGAAAGAGAGAGGGAGTCAAAATAGAAGATGACAAGGTCCGAAAAGATAAAAGTTCGCGTCGCCGCCTTACACTCTCGCCAAGGATAACAATCCGCAACAAAGGCGCATTCACCGTTAATTCCACTATGGCCCCAAGCCAAATCACCCACTCAACTCCAATCGTCGAACATCATACCCACACCGACGATCCCGGTCGTCGCGTGCTAACTCCCACCACTGCGATCGTCACCCCGCTGTCGTAAAACTCGACACGGTTCACCCAGATCCCACACTCCGTCGTGGCGATCAAGCGCGCAACCGGTCAGCCTATCGCCAGCCCGACAGGACTTTCCGACTCGCATCAATCTACTCTGCTTAGCCACTGCTTCCTGAAAGCTGGCTAAGGAGTCGAGAACGTTAGAGAGATTTGCGGATGCGCTTGCGGGTTTTATAGTTGCGACAGGGGAGATAGAAGGGGGAGAAGGCGACAGGGAAGTTGAGGTGCAAGAGGAGAAGCAAGATGAGAAGCCTTTGAGAAGAGTGCTCTACGAACGCCATGCTGATCCCTCGGGCCTCAAGGTTCAACCAATCAGATCCGTCGCGCGATAGGAAGGTCGTGTCGATCCACACACCTGATTGGCGAGCGGGAGTGATCGGGAGATCGACCGGGCGTCGTATGTCGGACTTAGAAGGTGAGAAGAAAAAAGGCGCGAGAGGTGGCGCAAGACGGGTCCAAGATTCAGATGATCAAGAAAGGGAAATGGGCACGCGAAGGCAAGGCGGGAGAGAGAGAGAGGGAGAAGGAAAAACAGTTACGGAAAGAGAGAAAAAAGAGGGAGAAGGGAAGAGAGGCGCGGGAGGGGGCAATACGGGGGACAGAGAGGAGGAAGCTTTTGCATGCATGGCGCCGTCAACGAAAAAAGAAGAAAAAGGCACCGAAACAGTTACAACTTGCGTCTATCCTAATTCAAAATTAAAATCACCATATCCGCGCGTAAAAAAGCGACGCGGAAAAATAAAATCCTACACCTATTTGTATTTATGCAAAGTTCCGAGAGTTTTTCCCGACGCGCCCAAGAACATTCACACATCCAAAAAGGACACGTCGAAGTTCCACTTATCCCGGAATTCCCAACTGTCGAGCCCAATTCCCAGTGCGCTCGCTAAGGCGCGCGCAAATTACCATATATTTCCTGATTTGCAAAAAGAAAAACAGAACCCAGAAGTCAAAAAAAGGTCTCCGAAAAAGGAAAATGCGGCACCCGTACGCAAGAAATCGAGACGGGGTTTTCCTGGGGTTGGTATGATACAAGCAAAAAGCAAGGGTACGAAAGATGGCACGGGGTCGGGAAATGGTTCGTCACATGACGAGCATAGACTGAATCCACATTAAACTGGCCTGTTTCTGGGACGGAATACTTTTCAGACCCGACCACAGACTGTGAAGATCTAGAGATCCCAATTGGAAACCTGATTCCTTACTTAAGGGTATGGAGACCGTGACTACAACCTGCTTTTTGACCCTAGATCTGTAGATGCTAACTCCCCATTTTGCTCTGTACTGAAAGGCAGGGGAGAAAGAGTTTGGTGACGTCAAGCTCATCCATCCAAAGAGGGCCTGTGATTCGCAACCTCACGCCCCCTCGCGGCTTCTCGTACGGGATCGCCAATCAGAGTTCTAGGAGGGTCGTGGCCGAGGATTTTTGGCCGTAAGGGTTGAGTCTCTAGGCTCGCCTGTAACACCTCCACTCGCGCCTCGTGCAGCACGTCCCGTTGGCACGCGAGTACCACCCCCACTAGGGGAAAAGGAATTTTCGTCGCTCTCCTGAATGACGGTGTAGTGTGGCTGAAAACCGTCCGCACCTGCACCGTACGTGTAGTAGAGTCTCTCGACACTCTTATCTACACCGGGCGGCAAATCCTCCGAGTCGGACTCCTACTCCGACGTCTCCGCCGGCTCTGCTGGCGGTGGGGGCACATAGTCGTAAGGATGAAGTGTCTCGGCTCTGGGACCGAAAACCTCAGCAACTCGCTTCGGACGACGAAAACCCTGCTGCTGGAATCGACGGACCTGTGCACTAACCTCGTGTGCGGCCACTGCCGACTGAGGTCGGGCTCCCCACTCCTCTGGCTCAGGCTCCTCCTCATCATCCCTGTCGGTGGTGGTCGGGGTGTGTGTGTACTCGTCAGGGCGCGCCTCAGCCAGGGTCTCCATGTGGCGCCACGGAAGAACGTACCCCCTGCTGCGGTCGCTCCAGCCAAGTAGTTTGAGATTGGTAGCAATCTCAACTAACTGCGCGACCTTCCGGAACTTGAGCTTGTTGCGCTTGGCCGTCTGGATGCGCTCATGCTCTGCCCAATTCCTCTCAGCAGGAGAGGCGGTTGTCCACATGTGAATCACACGGCTAGCGATCTCCTGCAAGTCCGGGAAGCACGCGCCGTGCTCCACCCACCATGACGCGCACCTGCTCGTCTCCTCGTCCCCTACACAGGTCTCCGCCTCGGCATCCCTCGTCACCCTGTCCGTCATGTGGCCAACCCTGGAGTGGAAGGATCGCATCTGCTGACACACTCACAAGTATGCATCCCCCGCCGCATCACCGCCTGTCTACGCCAAGAAAAACGAGTCGCACTCGGTAACGACCTCGAGGTCCTCAGTTGTCCTGCGGGCGGACTCGTAGTAACGTAGGGAGCGCCTGCGGGGGTTGAGCAGGTGCGCCGCAGCGTGTGCCGGCTCAAGCATATGCATGGTGCGGATCTGCACCGCCTCCACGCACAGCCTCCGCATGTCATCAGGGACGTCAACAACAGCGAACTGTCACGTCAACTCCTGCGACCATGAGTATATCATGGACATGATCATGCCGCCCCTGTCCAATCTCCTCAATAGCTGATGGACAGGGGTCATGACAGAGACAGCATACTGAACGTTGCGCCAGAAATCGGCGCACCGGATGACCTGCCGAACCCAAGACCCTGTGAGCGCTTCGACGACTCCCATGGGATCTTGTCCCACTCGTCGTCATGAAGCATGCTCTCCAAGGCGTTACGCCTAGCGAGCAAACACACAAACATAAAAAAAACGGACGCAAATCACGTCTCCACAGGGTGCACAAGCGTGCGGCGACGACTCTTCACCCTGAAAAGGTGATAAGCCGCGCCGTGCGATTTAATGAATCGCACCAACGCCCGAGCTCTGACAATGGTCTCTATAACCCAAGGAACCCCTGTGCCGATGTCAGACAACATCAAGTTGGCCACATGGGTGGCACAGGGGAGCCAAGTGATACGACGGATCTCCGGATCGGGGTCCTTTGCAAGGAGCTTTGCGGCGGACGTATAGTTCGACGCAGAGTCCGTGCAAATGGCCAACACGTCCTTCGGAGGGAAAGACCAAAAAATGACCTTCCATCTCCTAAGGACGATCCGTGCCGTCTTGGCCACTGAACGGTCTCGCTGGACGGTGGCATACAACAGGGCGCCGCGCTTGGCGGTCGCAAGGAAGTTGACGATAGGCCTCGCGTCTCGCGATTGCCTACCGTCCGACAAAATGGTGGCCCCCACCGACTCGAACGAAGCACGGACCTCCCTCAACATCGCGGCAACCTTCCCCCGCTGATCATCGATACCACCGCCCCGAATGTCCTTGAAGGACGGATAGACAGGCCGGACTCCGCGAGACATGGCGGCCAACGCCTTCTTGTGACTATACCATTACTGCCTCCTGAAAGCATTAAATGGTATACCACTATCGTAGCACCACTGCAAAAAGGTGTCCCTGAATGCGGCCTGCCCATCTGGATCCTACACCTCATCCAGAGTGGACTGCCGTTGTCTCTTGTGCGCCTGCGGCACGCCCTCAACTCCACTGCCCACCGGCCTCTTCCCCGCTGGGCCCGGTGCGTCCCCCTCATGACGGTGACCGGCGCTTCTCCCTCGCGCAGTCATGACCACCTCCTCCCCCGGCAAATCCTCTGCTGCGGCTGTCCGTCCACCCTCCCCAGCCTCTGCTCGCCTGGCCTGCTCGTCCAGGAACCTCTCCACCTCATCCACAAGATCGAGCTCCTCTGCTTGCGACTGCGACGCTCCCGTCCTCCCCCTGCCACTGCCTCGCTGGACCTCCACAGCTTGTCTATCCACGATATCGTGCTCCCTCATGTAAGCCATGATACCGCGGTGATGTCAGTTCTCGAACACGTAATCCGTGTGGTTCCAAATGTCAACGAACACATTCATCGTCGCCGCCGAGCACCTCTTCAACTGCGTGAAGTGGCGCTGTGCCTTGAACAAATTCCCCTGCCAGACATGCTAGCAATAATTGCAGCGCAGCTTATAATCCCCATGCCTCTTCTCCCATGTTCCCATCCTCAAACCCTGCGTCACATGACGCCACAATCTCGATTTCCTGCGCAGCTCGTCCATGACGACGTTGCTCGCAGGAACGAAGTCATTGCCCCCCGAACCGCCGGCACCACCCGTCATTTCAGACGTCGACATCCGCAACCCCTCCAACCCCCCCCCCCCCCCCCCCCCCCCGGAAACTAGACCCCCGACCACGCAGCCGTGTGAAAACGCAGACTCGTCAGCCCCCCGATGTCGTCTGGGGGAGCTGCCGCGGTCGTCACCGGTCGCTCTCGTCGCCGAAAACGCCCGCGCGCCGGATGCGCCCGCAGATGTCTGAGACACAACAACAAAAAACAAAATCCTGTCAATCAATCAATCAATCAATCAATAAATCACAACCAATCAATCAAATCAAGATCCTAGGATCTTCAACCAATCCTAGGATCTTGATTTCTCTCTCTCTCTCTCTCCCACACACACACACACACACACACACGAAAAAAAAAAAAAAAAAAAACCAAGATCCTTGGATAAATCAATCATTCAATCAATCAATCAAGCAAGCAAGCAATCGAATGAAGATCCTACGATCTTGATTTGATTGATTGATTGATTGATTGATTGATTAATTGATTGATTGATTGGATGATTTATCGTAGGATCTTGTTTTTTTTTATTTATAATTACTATTATTTTCGTGTGTGTGTGTGTGTGTGTGTGTGTGTGGGAGATAGAGAGAGAGAGACACTCTCTCTCTCTCTCTCTCTCTCTCTCTCTCTCTCTCTCTCTCTCTCTCTCTCTCTCTCTCTCTCTCT